GAGGAAATTAGAACAACACATCGTCACAAACCCTCAACCCACCAAAACAAGCAAACAAACAAACCCTAACCCTAAACCCTAAACCCTAAACCCTAAACCCTAAACCCTAATTTCAAACCCTCACAGATTACATGACAGTTCGACTGGCATAGCGTCGCCTCTGCGTTTGTTTCTTTTTCTACGAACGTCTCAACGCGAACCTGCAAAACCCCAAACCCTAAACCCTAAACCCTAAACCCTAAACCCTAAACCCTAGGCCCTAAACCCTAAACCGCAAACCCTAAACCCTAGCAAAGTGTCTCGATCGTAAACCGCTTCATACAGAGTCTACCGCTCCCGGCAAAACCCCCAAACCCTCGCCGCAACCCCCAAACCCTAAACCCCAAACCCCAAACCCTAAACCCTAAACCCTAAACCCTAAACCCTAGAGCTTACCCTGTCTACTTCTTCTCCAAAAACCTCCCGCAAGTAAGCCAAAACCCTCGTTTTTTTTCCCGCGCCGCTGGGGCCATACAGCAGCAAATGCGGGGGGGCGTCGCTGGCAGCCAGCTGCGGTGTACATACACCCCAAACCCTAAACCCTAAACCCTAAACCCTAAACCCTAAACCCTAAATTCTAGAGCATATGTGATTAACACACAGATACTAGAAAAGGATCATGGGTCTAGGGTTTACACCAACAGCAACAGGATGCAGGGAAATTCAGATATTAGGGTTTAGGGTTTAGGGTTTAGGATTAGGGTTTAGGGTTTAGGGTTTAGGGTTTACGGACGCTGCGAAAGAGGGGCGTGAGGTGCTGGTGGCAGGTCAGCTCGTCGAGGCGACGAGGCGCGTGCTTATCAACCCACAACATCCTCTAAACCCTAAACCCTAAACCCTAAACCCTAAACCCTAAACCCTAAACCCTCGGTTCGTGGGGTGACAGTCGAAGATGGGCTGTGTCTTGGGGGCTCCAGCAGCAAAAATAAAATGAGATACAAGTTTTATGCTGCTGCTGCTGCTGCTGCTGCTGTTGCTGCTGCTGCTGCTGCTGCTGCTGCTGCTGCTTATACACCTCGATGCTGGGGCGCAGCAGCAGCAGCACCGGGGAGGCTGGTAGCTGCAGCAGAAGATATTGTGTTTTATATTTTGCTGCTATTTAGTTTTGTTGTTGCTGCTGCTGCTGCTGTTGCTGCTGCTGTTGCTGCTGCTACTGCTGCTCTTGCTGCTGCTGCTGCTGCTGCTGCTGCATGCGGAGGGGTGTTGCGGTCGGTGGGTCTGAGCCAAGCCCTAAACCCTAAACCCTAAACCCTAAACCCTAAACCCTAACAAGTGTGGAAATAGCGTAAAAGAAGTGTCTCTTTCTTCATAGTTAAAAGGGATATATAACAACCCAAACCCTAAACCCTAAACCCTAAACCCTAAACCCTAAACCCTAAACCCTCGCTGCGCCTCGCCGGCGACAGAGGGGCGTCTTGTCTTCCCCCCTCTTCAAGTGTACATACACCCTAAACCCTAAACCCTAAACCCTAAACCCTAAACCCTAAACCCTGTTGGGTGTGCGGCTGAGGGTACAGCGCCTGAGCTCTCCTGCAGTCGGCTGCAGTCCCCCTGAAACCCTAAACCCTAAACCCTAAACCCTAAACCCTAAACCCTCAAAAGATGGAGAGCAAGGTCACCTTCGCAGAGGATGCGCGGCCAACTAAGCTGCAGCGTACAGAGGCTGCAGCAACAGCAACAGATGCAGCAGCAGCAGCAGCAGCAGCACCAGCAGCAGCAGCAGCAGCAGCACCACCAGCAGCAACAGCAACAGCAGCATCCGAGTTGAGTCCAACAGCAGAAGAAGCAGCAGCAGCAGCAGCAGCAACAGCAGCAGAAAAGCCAGAATCTACCAGCAGCAACAGCAACGACAGCAGCAGCAGCAGCAGCAACAGCAACAGCAGCAGCAACAGCAGCAGCAGCAGCAGCAGCAACGCAGAAACAGCTGCCCCCAGCAGCTCCCCCAGCAGCACCTCCCCCCCTTCCACCAGCAGCAACACCAGCAGCAGCAGCAGCACCACCACCACCACCAGCAGCAGCAGCGACAGCAGCAGCAGCAGCAGCAGCAGCAGCAGCAGCAGCAGCAGCAACAAGAAGGAGATAGAAGCAGCATGGAGAGAGACAGAATATAAAAACTGGGT